GGGGGGGGGGAGGGGTGTAATCGTACCGTATGCACCCCACCCCTTGAATCCGCCCTAGCATAGAAAATAAAAGTTAAAAACATTGTCGTTGATGTGTCTACTTTACTTTACCAACTTCAAAGGCGCGAGTCACACACCCATCTCAGCCCCAATATGGTTGGGGTTGAGGTGCGAAAATTTGTGGAAATAGTACCTGGCCGGAAGTGACAATCTTATGTAGTTAAACTCGTCATCATCACATCAACACTATTTATTTATTTATTTGGTATAAAATACTCAAAATACAACAAAGGTAGAAATACTTCGACTTTACAATACGAACAAATAAAAATATATGCAAAATAAAACATTAACACCACACATTATATACACCAAACTTTAGGCCTATAAATGCAATTTTATCTATACATTACTTATTATAAATCTATACCGTATACATTAAAATTGGTAATGCTTATTAATTATTTAAATATATATGTACAAGTACAGATTGAAAATCCAGCGGCGTAGCTGAGGTTTTAGCACCCGGGGGAAGAGTAAATCTTCCTCTCGTCGGGGGGATATCTTTGACGAGAGCAAAGTGGGAGTGATCGAGCGTCGCTTAAAATCTTTTGAAAGTGGTCTGGAGGCGAATCCCCCAAAAATTGTTTACAATTTATTGGTTTCAAAGGCTTATTTCATCGATTTTAGAGTCTACTGATATGTACAAAATATATATAATTTTTTTTTCTCCCAACAAATTCTGTTTTTTTCTCCCCGACAGGGGGGGGGGGGCATGACTCTGCCCCTGTTTCTTACTATTGAAACTGCATTACGATGTTCGGAACTTTGTATACAACTTTACCATTATCTTAAGTTGTAAGGCTGTTGTATTTATCACATACAGCTTAGTATTCTTATTCTCAAAATTAATCTTATTGTAGAATCTTGTAAGTTGCTGAATTTTTTAACATTGTTTGAATTTGCAACTGAATTGTGTGTGCTTTTGCATCAGCAAATAAGTTAATAACATGATCAAAGTTAGCAATGTTGTCTGCTTCATCACTAATTAGTGCCAAAGCAGATAGTCTCGCTTTTCCCATCGTGGCTCTGAAATATGGCAGGATGAACTTTAGTCATGTAGTCATTACATAATAGGATAAAAACAAGAGAAAACGGTCAAAATGGATTGAAAAGAAATCACAATCTATAAATTTGCCAATAAAAACAACTACATTCAGATTCTTATTATTAACTGGAAGATATTCATGCCTGACGACATACTTATTTCACCAATCGAAAACAAGAAGAGTATTTACCTTAATTTACCTACTTTGTGTGCCGAAAATATTATACTTTTTCTTATACTTTTGATATTATAACAAAAACATGCGCATTCGAGCTGTGTTTTATAAGTAATTCAGACGTTATTGATACCGGTATCTTGCTATAATATAAGATGTACAGTACATACTTTACCTGGGTCATTTATGCAATTCATTTCAATAACTTTCAGGCATCATTTTTACTCATGAAATTACATTGTGGTCGAAACGGGGCGGATACAAATCCCTAAAAAATATGTGGGTGGGGGAGGAACATGTCCCTCCGTCCCCAGGATCTGTGCCCATGGGCCCTTCCAGTGTTTCTAATGAAAGTACAATGAGAGATAGATAAAGAGATGCCTTAACAAATAACATAGTCAACACAGTTGTTGTAATGATATATTAATCATTAAAAATTATAGTTCAATCATTGAAGATCATTCTGTTTTGCATTAAATAACTTAGCACATTTTGCAAGGGGCGGAGATGTGCCACTTCTAAGATAGCAGGAATGCAATATGGCATCTGGATAGGCCTACATTTTAGCACCATCCCTCTATTAATTGAGGGTGTCCCTTTTTTTTTGGATTCGTACTCCAGTCTGTCTGCGTAACATTGCGTAGAATGAGGCACAGCTAATATAAATCAGATTTAATTATAGCAAAGCAGTAGCAATATTGAAACTGAATAGTTTTGCCACAAAAAAAGAATTTAGTCTGTATACATTTATAGTTATTTAAAAACAAATCATCTTGACTATTTAAGACAAACAACAAATATAAACCTGGTTGGTTGGTAGATAGATATATGTCTTTTTTTTCTTCTGGATTTCCTGTTGAACAAGCAACCATTTAAAGGGCAAAGTTCTGACCATCTTCTTTGCGAATTTGTAGATTTGCTTCATGATGCTAGAAGCTTTACTCTCTGGGAATGGTAAGCTGTTCTCAATAGCAAAGAAAGTTGACACCATTGCCTCATAAGGTTTGCCTGCTATTGCTTGTCGAATTTTACTAAAAATTTTTTCGGCCTGAAATAAAACATTTGGTCATGGAATTGAGATTAGTAAATTAATTCATTTTTTTGTGATAGGGATTGCCACTTACTATAAGAAATATATGTTTTTTGTTTTCTATACACTGGGTATCCTGTTCAGTAGATAATCACCTAGACCTATCACTTGTAATCACCGTTCATGCATATCACGCATGTGTTTTATTTTTGGTAGCTCTTCAAATAAAGAATACATTACAATATATAGCGACTTTAATGCAGTATTTTAAAGTAATTGATGATGAATATACACATCAGAATAATACATAACATAAGATGATGTTTTACAATGCTCTATTGAATAGGCCTATACTAATAGTTTTAGTGGGACGATGTTTTTAGTAATTATTAGAGATTTAGGTAGAAAGAGCGCAGGACATCATGTGTGACTACCAAGAAATTGTTTATTAAGAATCAATAACAGCATGCAATAAATGTAAATCCATTCTAAAGCACTTGGAATAAAACGATCTTACATTTACATCACCTTTACTTTTTCTTAAATTTCCCTCTAAATAGTGATATTTAAGACCACTTTTAGTGCCGGTCTTTAATCAGAGGGTTTCTAATTAGCGACCAAATCTGCTAAGACCACCAAAGCCCCGGTCCCAAAAGTGGTCTTCATTTGGAGGGAGACATGTACTACACTGCTTGCCAAAAACAAATCTGATCTACTTACATTGGCCTATAGTGGTAGTAAGATTAAAGTGTCAATGTTTAGGAACTTAACAATAATTAGGCTATTATTGAGTATTACGGCTGAATAAAACTGTTCACATACGTAAATACACTTGCCCAATATTGTCTTTTGCGTGTTTTTCAAATTCCTCTTGTGGAAGCCGCATCTCAAATGGTATTAAAGTGAATGTATCAGTACTGGACTGACTTGTTACCTCATTTTTTTGTTCTTCTTCATTCCCTCCAATGCTGCCTAGGTGAGTACCAATCACTAGTACCGGCGGTGAAAGTTGGTTATCATCAATCTTTGAATCTCTACTGTTTGTATACACTGAACGAATCCAGTACAGAATAAACTCCAGGTTTGTCATTCTATGCATGTACTTTTCACCCTGAAAATATATAACATGTGATTAATAATTATGAAAAAATATAATAAAATAATAGTATGACTAGGATTAACTAGGTGTGCACCAGCTCCTCTATGCCTTAAAAATTGATTTTTTTTTTCTACTGATAATTCTACTGATTTCCAGAGCATCAAACACACAATAACGTATACATGATGAAATTTGGGTTGTATCGTGTAGGCCTATGTGACAATTTATTCCTCAAAATGCAAGTAAATTACAGTTGTTGGATCTCGAACTTCAGCGGGAGAATCAAGGTCATCTTCCAGATTGAATACTACACAAACAACGGCAAAAGATACCAGGAAAATCTACAAGAAAAAATATTGACATTAAATTATTATAGTATTTAAAACTCCAAAATAACTTTGATGTAATAATCAATATTAAAAAGACTTTACTCGTTGTATCACATGATATATCGGCTGGCCTCCAAAGTCCAAGATTTTCATAATGAATTCTTTACTAGATTTTCGCCATTCAGTTGTTGCTTCTTCTGTGAACTTCATCTTCTCTTCAACTATGCTGGTGATGTTTTTAGGAACTTCATTAATTTGTTGTGTATTTTTGCTCTCTGGTTCTCTATCAGCACTTCTGGAAGGTCCAGGTGATGATTGTCCTTATTAAAGAATCAATAAAATCTAAAACGTTGCATTATTTAAATAAGAATTCTCATGAGTTAAATTTCTAAATGACATTTTAGGCCTATAGCAGCAAACAAGAGGGCCTTACCTTGAATGTCTCCTGTTGACGTTTTTGCTGTGACTCCGATATCTGGTAATAACTTTATGGTAATAATACAAGTAATATTAATAATAATAATAATAATGATAATAATAATAATAATAATAATAATAATAATAATAATAATAATAATAATAATCATAATAATAATCATAATAATAATAATAATCATAATAATAATAACAATAATATAATTCTAATATTTTCATATTTGGCCCTAATACAACTCTTTTATTATGGATCAAGCCACAATTATAAATAACATAGGAATGTCCAAATACATTGTAAAAAATGAAGTACAGTATATAAATATCGAAAGTAGGCCTACATCGAAATTGACTATTGTGTTCATAAATGAAAAAAAAAAATATTGATTTATTTTTTTTTTGGACTGTCGGATCTGTTTGGATCTTTTCTTTTCTTTTTCTTCCATTACTTCGAAAACTCCTATGCTTGCATTCATCACATTCTGTCCTATTTTGATTGTCCATGAGCGACGAGTATACTGCCAAATCAACATTAACTATGAGTAAGGCGATACGTTTATCTGACATTTAATTATAAATACCTGTCCAATAGTATCATGTCATTCATATGTCATTGTTTCTTTTGTCGGTCATATTTTTGACTTCTTGTGGAGGGGCGCCATGAGCGTTTTCTTTAAACGGATACCGGCGCTTTAAAAGTTTTCATTATTATTATTATTATTATTATTATTCATTCATTTCTGAAATATTAGGTGACCGAGTAGTAGTCCTTAATACTGATTGGAAAGGTTGAAGATCTATACTTCACAAATATATTTTTAACAACATTTCATAGGTTAATTCCGCTATTTTCATGCCTATGTCCTTGCTGCTGTATAATTGTAAAAGGTAGGCAGCACCAAAAGAAGTTATAGGAAAACTAGACACGTGTCATCGGAAGCACAAGATCCATTTTAAATATAAGATAGCCACATGTCGTCGGCAATGAAGCCTTGTATATATAGGGTAACTAAGTCGCCTCCTGTACGTTTCTTCCTGGTAGACACCAAATGAATTTGTTGAATCTCATCAAAAATTATCTTGCTTGTAGAGGATATTATTTGAACACGTATGATGATATCGTAATGTTAAGGGAGATTGCTTTAAATTTAAAAAGGTGGTCAGGTATTTTATTAGTCAAATTAGAGACTTACTAGAGAGATTAAAATGATATATCTAGATGTGTGTTGCGCCTTTTTCCTGTTATGCATATTGACGACGCTAGAAAAATTATCACCTGCAATTGACTACCTCAAATCTGACAATGGCCTGGTAAGTTTACTAAAGGCCTTTCCAATGAGTCTACTTTAGACCAGTATTAAACTATTAACCTTGACGCAATGTCAATAAGCAACAGAATTTCCTCTTTAGATAAAAAAGTATTGTGAATTGAACTTAATTATTTTGTATAACATAAGGGCACTATTTAATTTTGCTTCACAAACAATTATCTGTAAATTAGACAGCATTTAAAAGGCCGTGGCATTTTTGCTAATTATAACATAAAATGTCTCACAGGTTCTGCTGTTACTCCCACTTTCTCCTCCTTTTCTATCTGTGATAATTCCTTCACAATTACATCTGCAAGTTTTTCCTCATATATGCTAGTAACTCCAGCTGTTAAGAACATAAAAATCATTAGAATAATATAAGAATTGTTAAAAATAAATGTGAAAACCTAAACATGATCATAAATATAAATTTGATTATATATGAGTATACAACAGATTTTTGTCAAAGAAATTTTGATAGTGTGGACAGAACTTACAGATATAACCTTTAACCTTTAAAGTACAGCTCCGGGAGAGGGGGTGGGTGGGGAGAATTGATATGCTATACAATTTTTTAAAGACAAAAAGAGCGTGGTTGACGAAAAGAAATGGTTAATGAGATACAGATTTTTGTATTTAAAAACCGGGGAAAAGGACGTATAACCACTATTTTCCACCTTTCATATTAAAATATCCACATTAACTATTCAAAATCTGTATCTCATCCATTAAGGTTCACCTTTTTTATCTTGGTAAAAACAGTTGAAAAGCAAATCAAGTTTTATTTCCCTCGGAACCTGGCTTTAAGTATAATACTGTATGAAGGATCATTATTGTTTTCTTAAACAATTAAAAAAAGTAACACTATGAATTTCTTTTTAATATTGAGATTACTTACAATGATCATGTGTTGTTTCTTTCCAATTCAATTCATTGTTTGAATCCTGGGTGCACACGGTTTGTGTGTTTGCAATTGCGTCAGTAATATCCTCCGTTAAATCAAAACTAAAACAAAATGAAAATATAAATCTATGCATCGTTGCTTTAAAAGTTATTAAAAGGTAGCTCCATTCACAACTTTTTCTGCCTAATTACATTAAAAAATGATTTTGATATTTGAAAGTTTGTACGGGTTTGATTGATAAGAATAAATAAATAAATGAATGAGGCTCAGTTTAAAGTGAGGAACAATTTCTAGTATAAATCTTTTGCTTACACATTGCATGTTAAAACAACTTGTTGTGTTAACTTCACAAAAAAAATAACATATAATTTTTAACTCGCATATACTATTGCAATTGGGCAACAAGAATAACTTTTTTTCAAATAATTTCATTCTGATATAGTATTTAGATAAACTGTAGCAACTGAAACTGTAGTGGTAAGAAGAAATTTACTTTTTGACTTAGAAATAACAGAAAATGTATCTAAATAAGATTATCTGTTTAAATTCGTATTATCTATTCGTATTAACTATTATCTTTTGCATTGTTGTATTCTGCAGCTTATGTTTTCAATTTTTTTTATAAATGAATTTTTTTGAACTTATGAAAAATATAAAATATTAAAAATGTTTTTAATTCTTGTTTTCATAGGTTGGCGGTTTAGAGAGAATTCACTTTGGTGTCGGGCTTTAGCCCATTATTCTCACTTGGCATGCCGTTAGCCTGTCTTTATATCTCTCTTTTTTGTATTTTATTTTTATGTGTTTCTTGTATATGAAGATGCCGAATTCATATAAAATAAGTAAATAAATATTATACCAAACTGTGATATTATGCTTATAAGTATTTAGCTTACGGATAGTTTAAAAACGACTTGATAGTAGAAGTTTTTCCGACCCGTTCGAGACCCAGAAAAATGGTTGTTCCTTGATTAACTTCTGTTTCACCATCAGATAGAGCTTCATTGAATGCTTTCAGTGCTTCTGGACCACGTGCTAATATTTCTACTGGTATCTTCACCTCCAGATCTAGATTTGTTATGTAAATAATTATGTACGGTTATTATGTGTAGGTTTGCTATGTCATTTGGTATTAAATATAGCTCCTATTCTTTTAGGTTACAAAGCGCTTTGTTTTCCCTGGTCAATGGGTATGCTTACGTTTTGCTGCTATTTTGGCGCAGTAGGAGGAAACCCCACCACTTGCCTATTTATACCCAAGAGGTGGATAGAAGCAGTGCAAATAAAGGTAAGCGGTGACTGAGCCTAAATGACGAAGACTTAACGGTATACTTTTTACACTGGACTGGGTTGCTCTTTATACTGTAATATTCAAGAGTAACCTCTAACACACTATGGACCCATTAGGCCTCCAATAACCAGAACGCCTATTTTTCCTTGGCAGATAGATCAACTCCTATAGTATTAGGAATGGTATATAGTACAAAGTATCCTTTTGTTGCTGAAGTTATCACAATGTGCTTTAAATTGATTTCTAAAGTTGTTACATCTAATAGCCAGTTTAACTTCCTTGAGAATGTACATTTACTGGATTCATAGATTTCTGCATTGGTGACTTTTTGGTAGGTCCTTCGAATCGTACACAACTAGTATTTTCCTCATTAGCGTCCCACGTCATCAGCAGGTGATAACGCCATGCTACTAACGATTAAAATACTACCGGTCAGATGTAAGACGAAACAAGCAAATATTAAGGTAATCATTTATATAGAGGTCAGGAATACTATGGTAAGTCATGTATATACGAATTGGAATGAATTAGAATGAGAGACTGATATTCTAATGAGTTGTTTGTTTGTTCCCAAGCAATGTAAAGGGTTTCTTTTATTTTAAGTTGATAAGTATTGTGGGAGGAGTCAAGAATTTAACAGTCTGAATTAGATGTGTTTTGACATTTTAGAGATTTTTGAAGATGTTGAAATATATGTGATGACTTGTCCTGGACTAAATGTACCTTAATCTGTGTTTCTAAGTGTCTCTTGGTCTCGCCAGCCCTATACAAGGAGTTGTACCCCGCGCATGTAAATTTGTAGACAACACGGGCTCGGAGATTAGTTGGGACAAAAATTTGATAATTTATATGACTTGAAAGCAAGTCTGACATTATTGTTAGAGCAATAATTGTTTACCATAACGTTAATTTTTCGTTAACAATAGCTTAATAATGGTGTATAGAGTAACTTGAAACAAGAAGGTTGTGTTTTTGTTTTAGAAGGATCCAAAGTGGTGGGACAATGTTCATTTTTCTTGTGAAGGAATTGTTTAAATAGTCAAAAAGTTGCAAATATTTTAAAATTATATTTTTGGTAGTCAATATCATATAATCTGTATAGCCCTTTTTTTCGCGCGTCCTTAATGTTCTCGATTTTCGTGATGAAACGACGATCGCGAAAAATAAGGGTGCACGAAAATCGAGAAATTCTGAATGATACTTGTGTCTTTAAAAGCGATGCTAGGCCATAAACATACCTACTATAAAACTGATATTCCCTCAATAAAGATTTTATGGAATCATTTTACTTATTTTTGCAGTATTTTTCAATCATTCAATCACATTTTAAAAGTTAAATGCAGTAGGATTTAAATGAATAATGTCATATTCCTATTCTGAAAATTAGCTGTCTTGGCTAGGCCAGACAGTACGTCACACTTCACATCACACTTGAATAGAGTGCAGGGCCGTCGGAAGCGCACCGGCTATGGCCGGACCACTTTTTCTCTAATCCATTATTTTCTGAAATAAATATATAATGATAATTATGAATTATATGAATGTACACATCACATTGACTTTTTCAATCATGGTACGATGGACCCGAGATAGAGATTACAGTAATTAGCCTACTTCCACTAACTTTCAATCTTGTATCTGTTCCTGCATGGGGTTGGAATAGGGGTACAGTAGTTGCTTTGCAGCACATTTTCAAAATTTACAGAAATAAGTTTATACACCAACTTTACCCCTTGAGGGGGTGGGGGATATGGCCGGAAATGGCACTCTCACACTGTGACAGACATGTGTTGGATTGGTGTGGGCTTATTTTTATATGTTTTATGGTCTGATTGCCTGACGAGCCCTGTCGGGCGGGGGGAGGCTTGACCTGTCCGGTGGGGTACTAACTAGCCCCTCTGTCCTACCACAGGCGCCGCCACAGCTTTCTAGTTCCTGGAGGTCAAGGAGGATCGTTTGCTTTCTGGGAAGTATTATGCCTACTAGGCCTATTATAAGACTAAAAATAGAATAGCGACCTAAATTAAACTTTACAAAATCAAAACTGCTGATTTTTCCAGGGGGTTTTATCTCTGCACCCATATTGAACTCACTTCACTTTAGTCTGGATTAGTTTCTCCATCACTCTAAAACACACCAACACCTGCATCAACATCATTACCGTACATCATCATCGTCGACATCATCGCCATCAACATCATCATCGTCGTCATTATTGTCATCATAACCGTCATTGTTATTATCATCCCCTCATCATAATTATGATCATCATTAATTCACACCTTTTTTCTGGTCATGAAGGTAAACAAGGTTTAAAGATGTATTGTCTCTTGAAAATTACAAAAAAATCATAAAAATAATTTTGAAATTAACTTGTTCATTTTTGCAGTTGCATACATATTTTTACCTTGAGCAAAGAAATTATTGAATATAAAAATATGTACCCTGATTTTTAAACTGGATAATTATAATAAAGTTGATAATTTTTATGTTGCTTAACAATGCGCAAGTTTCAAAAATAATTGTGCGGCATTGTGTGCCCCTCTCCACTCACTAACTGGATCACACTAACGTTAGTACTCTGTTATTTATTTATTACCAGGGTAGATCTCTCCATGGAAGTATACGTGCATGGTCTGTCTGCATAAATATACCGAAGGTTGATTAAAATTATATGTGTAATCGGTATAAGGCCTACCAGAAGCAAACACAGCACATAACTTTTATGTTTCTTGCTCTTCTGGTGGAAAAGCAACTCAATTTATCTACTTATGGCAATGATAAGAAATTAAATTTTTAACAATATTATTTTCTACAGCTTTACCAGCTGCTATTTCATGGCATCCAGAGGTGTCACATTTCCAACATAGACTCTCATCTTTGCCAACTTTATAGTGGCCTCCCCTTGAAGGGGAGGGACAGCGGCTCTAATTTGCCAGCATCTATTTCCGGACATTCATAGGCGCCAAACAGGTTGTTTACCAACAATGGTGGGGCTAGAGTTGATATGATAATTATGCTCTCAGCCCTCAACTAACTTCAAAATCCTGTAGCTATGTATAGAGATAGCGGGTCTCCACTCTTCATTTACTACCATATGTTTCAAGTGCTCATACTGAATCATGTTTAAAATGGCGAGAATTGTAAAATCCCAAAAATAAAAGGTCGCGAAATATAAAAAATTATAAAATCGCGAAAATATAGGGCCGCGAAAGAAGGGCTATACAATGTGTGTGCTGGGTCAGGCCATACTGTAATTTTGTTGAAAAAAAAAACTATGTTGCGTTCAAATGACAATTTTGGCATACAAATAATAATACCCCCACCACCCTTCCGTCCTTGTGTATAGACTATAGACAAGTAAAAGCCTTCATTTAGAAAAATGGTAGATACCCGCACTGCCCTGACACAAACCTAATCATTGTAACTAACATTTAAGCCTGGCTTGATGAGAGAATTAATGAAAAAAAAAAGAAATTGTTGTATAATACCTTCTGTCAGCACTTTTACAGCTAAGGGAAGATTAAGTTCCTTCAAGTCTTCAATGAATTTCTCCATATTTTCTTCACTAATTTTCATTCGCTGTTCTAGTTCAAATATCAAACTCCACGAGTCAACATATCTGTTATTTAATCTATAGAGGTCACTGATCATTTCTATAGCTTCATTGGTCAGAATCATTCCAAGCCTCGTGATTCTTTGTCTGCGCTTTGTGAATGTTGTGATGATTACACCTCTAATCGTTGGACATGATGGTATAATAGCTTTAATTTCTCGTTCTAAACCAAATTGCTTTGTTATCTTTATGGTATCATAGAGGATAGAGAGATCGCTTGATCTATACAGATGACCAGATACAATCAGCCAATTCAATAGGTCCATAGTCTTTGAAGCTGAGTATAAATGAGAAATATTTACCACATGGTCTCTGTACAAAACTTTCAGGATACTGATGTATTTACGCTGGTCATACCAATCCGAAACAACCTTCAACAACGCTTTGAAATCAACCTCACTGATTCCTAAGAAATAAACAAATAGAGGTCTTGATATTATACACATTAAGAATCTAAAACTCAGAATATACAACATACAAACGAACGAACGAATGAATGAATGAATATGCAAAAAAATAAACAAACTCATTCATTCATTCATTCTTTCATTCATTCATTCGGCTGTTGAACAAGCAAGCTTCATGCTGGTTCACCTCTCTTTTGAATTCCTGGATCTGCCACTGTTCATTTATTATATAATTATTTTTTCGCTTATTTTTAATGCGTCTATTGCAATTTTCACTTTATCCTCTCAAACAGTCCTAAGAACGCTCAGTGTGCGCTACTTCCCAGGGGATTCTCCCCCTTGACCCCGCCAGGGTCATACGTAATTCGCATAACAGCTCCCCCCCTTTCAAAATCCTGGCTACGTCCCTGTGTCCAAGGGTGGGGGGGGGGCGAAGGGTGGCCGAAAGTGGGGCCGATCGACGTAACACTATAATTCTAGGGGGTCCGGGGCACACCAAAGCGAAATATATATACATGTACAATAAACATACAATGAAATTCGATCTGGTTCCCTAACAAAAACAAACATAAAATACGTAAATACAAACTAGTGATTGTTTTATGCCCTAATGGCTGAGGGATTGAAACTACGTATATAATGTAAGAAGCTTGAGACTGCACAGATATTGATATTATTTTCAACCATGCCATAGTACGCCTACAAGCCAATCGCTTTGAAAATTGTATAATGGTACTCTAGTATTTTTTGTGATTACCCTGTCATAACGCAAAAATGTCAATTACTGGCACAATAAGAAATTGATAATTCTCTTTATTTACCTTCACTAAATTGAGAGTCCATGTTGATCTTCCTTCTTTTCTTTCCAGTTCTATTTTCTAAAAAGAGGTAACAGACTTAAAATCAGGCTCAAGGGGAATGGTTTTTCATATGTTTTAGTCCTACAAATAAAGGGGTGGTTGGTGGAACAGCTATTATTGTAAGACACAGATTTTTGTAATATGTTATTAAAGCTGGGGAAGGGAGGGACAAACACACATTTTCCTAAGTTTTTATTTTTTTTTTATAAATGTCTACCTTATTAACCGTTCCTGTGTCTTTCGTTAAACAAACCCTTCAATCTCTTAACAAAATTCGTTGTAACAACTTTATTCAAAAGGTGTTTTTATTTACCCTATGGATACTGACTATAGCAATAACTTTTTTTATATTGTAAATCATCAAAAACATTCCTTTCTACTTTGTAACGTCAATTTCACTAAAGCGTTTGATCGACTTCTCTTTTACCTTTATTCTGCGTGTTTTTCACTAATTAAGTGAATTACTATATTCAAAGAAATAATGGAACTACCTCCTTATAAAGAATTACTTATAGCTTGCTTCTTGGTTAAAATAATATCATCGTTTTGAACTATTAGCTAGATCGATAATTTTATGTATAAACATGAATCTGACCTTGTATCATTACGAAAGTTGTAATTTGTTTCAATTCCGTTATTTCTTCATTGCATTAACTAAGCCTAATCAACGGATGATTTATTAGGTTGTATTTATTTTAATAACTTACTAAAGAAGTACAAGCTATGGAAAAAAATATCCTCATTCCTGGTGATGTTCGAACAATGAACGAAATATCGAATCATTATAGCTTCTCTTAGTGTTTTTAGAGTCTGTATGATCTTATATTATCTAAATATAATCAGTGGATCATTTCATTATGAAATGGTCTGTTCCACTATAATGGTGGCGTTTATGCCATGGAGGTAGGCCTATTATACTCAGTATACTTCCATACTGTAGTTTAATTCCTACCGGCATGTTTTCGGATTTCCGCTTTATACGCTATGCCTGCGCAGCGACTCTGACAGCCAATGCAAAGCGTGCTGCGAATTATTAGTTACATAGAGAATTTTGGATGGATTCGTCTTCTTAATACCCGAGGTGAAATTTCGTGATTTTCCAAGTATATAAAAGAACTGCCCAAATTATTAATTAATTCTGCCTTCTTTTTTTGTGATCCCCAAAATTTTGGTTTGTTGTGCTATGAAAAACTAAATTTTAGTTTATTGCTGGAAGTACTAACTCCACCTTCCATAAAGCTAGAGAGGGACAAGAGAAAGTGGTGGATAATATAAAAAAAAAAATACAAAGAGTATACGCTGTTTTGCATAGGCCCAGCTTTCGATGGTTTGATTACGTCTATAGCATGCAAAAACAGTATAAGCTGTTCTGCATATATTATACAATAACTCTTTCGGTGGTTTGATTACATAGCGGTAAAATCTTAGGGGAACTCCGATAAAGTAGGCCTAGATAAAATATGCCAAAAAATCAGCAATACAGTTAAACAGATCAAAACCGTTGTTACCAGTGAGTACGAGGTCGATTAACTGCCTGGGGAAGGGGGTGCGACAGTAACAGTGGGAGCGACATTGTCAAAATGGTGATAATATTGAGGTGGTTTTCAACTAGGCCTACTTGAGTGGTTTTTTTGTTTTGTTTTGTTTTCTTTTTTTTTTGGGCTTCGAAAATTTCCAGTGAGGGGACTGGAGGTCTATTTTTAGACCCTCACAATACATCAGCGTAGACGTAAGCAGAACATGCGGTTTGTGGGGAGCCACGTGTTTGTGGGATACGCGTGTATTCCTGGTCCTGTTATGTTGTTATTCTGGAAAGGTCTACATCGTTTTAAAATAAAAAAAAAATTGTTATTATTACAACCTAACCAGGATTTCTTAGGGCCTATAGCGAAATCATCTATTACAGCAATTGTACAAAGCACCAATAGGGGACCACCGGGCGTAGTGAAACGGTATAAAATCATACCGCCAGAAGGCATAGGATATATTTTTTGTGTCGACTCGCCTAAGTTCATACCTTTGAAGTAAAATTTTACGGGTTTTTTTTTTTTAGTTTCTATGAAGAACTGCCGAAAGTATCAATTATATCTGGAGTATTATTCATTGGTTTATTTACCTATTAAAGCTAAATCTTAGTCTCGAGCAGTCTTACTCCTCCGCCCGGAAAGCCAAGATGTCGAAAAGTTCGGAAGACTTTAACAGCAGCATTCCAATTTGTTGCATGACAATTTTGACGAATGACCAATTTAAATTTTAAATTGTTTCTTTTTTTTAAATTCAATTACACACTTATTTTCTTCCTTGAATAGATGGTACATACAAAAGCTAAAATAAGTAATGCAATGGTACTAGTATATAATAATATCAATAATAAGAATAATTGTTACTGGATTTCTAAAATGTGTATGTTAAGATTTCTTTTTGAATATAGTTTGGATCATAAAAACAAAAATCTTAGCAGAAAAATAATTGTTGAATAAAAGCAGGGGGAGCTACGCAGAGCAATGGCGCACACCCTCCAAAAACCAAAAAACTTGCTTTCCCAAGTCGCCCCCACTGAAAACTTCAAAGCAAAAGAATTACGCTTAAGTAGTTAGGCCTATTATAGGTAGTTTTCACCGCACGACGTTAACGTTAACGGATGATGTCATAATTTATTCGTCTTGCGTTTCAGAGTACGTAAATTTCAGGATTTTACGTGTTGGACGTACGTTAGTTATGGTTTGCGCATGCGTATTTCGATTTGTTTACGAAAATGGGCGGAGCTATTCAGAGTTTACGCTGGACACAAATTGGTGTTTGGGTGGGTGGGGTCGTGAGGAGAGTGTAATATGTGATTGTGCTGTAGCTGAAAGACACATGTTAGACTTAGGGGAGTGGGTATGGAGTCCTGCTCCGGAAAATGTTGGGTTTTTGATGCTTACAAATGAACTTATTTCCAGGCCATTAACGTCTATTAAACGAATAGCCTTCGAATATAAAGTTTTTCCCTACTTTATACTACGGAATATCAATAATAATTATGGTGAAGATGTTGAGGAGGAGGCAGCGTACCAAGGCGATGACAGGTTCCTGTGTAAGATTAATTACTAGTCCCTTGTCAGGGCCTCCAGGGGCTTTGGAACACCGGCCCTCCACTGCCGTCAGGCAAACCTCAGGCTCCACTAGTTTTGTTTTGTTATGATTTTACACAAAGAAGAATGGCAAAAATTATATCAATGTTAAGGTTGCAATAATTGATAATGAACTAATATTGCTATAGAGCGGCTAAGGTTGAATTTCAGGTAGAACCGTGCACTTCTGGAAGAAAGCATGAAACTTCCCACAGTGATACTATGATACCTAAAGATCATTAAAAGATGTAGACCCCAAAAAATAACGCCTCCTAATGGCCATTGAAATCCAATATGGCCACTAAAATAATTAATTTTAGCCTATGTATTCATATTTACAGCACATATCACTCCAACTGAAGATCATTACCCATGTTTTCAATATCAGGGAGTGTCATGCAATCATCAGAAATTATGCCAGATGGGGGCGCCGCCACACTGGATTTCAAGATGGCCTCCAAATTATTACTATTTTTGTCAATATCTTATCTTAGTTAGAGCACCTAGCACTGTTAATCAAAGACCGTTACCCAAGTTTTCGATATCAAGGACTATCATGCAACCATCAGAAATTATGTCAGAATGCCACCATTGAATTTCAAGATTGCTGCCATACTAGATTTCAAGATGGCCGCCAAGTTAATTATTGATAATGTTGTAAATATCGTCATATCTACAACACCTAGCACTGTCAAAGATCTCTACTCGTGTTTTCGATATCCGGGAGTATCATGCAGATATCTATGAGATGGCTAATTATCATTTTCTGTGTAAATAATTTCTTATGTACTCAGGACAGTAAACTTAGATGGTTCTAATATAGAATTTTAAATAATATCTTAACAACCAATAGCTTCCTCTTTAAAATTGGAATTACGGATTGTAA